CTGGGCTGGAGCTGGCACGTAGTTTCGGGGTCCGTCAAGACGCCGTGGGCCGGCACAGCCTGGCCGGTTAGGAGGGAACGGGGAAGTTGGGGATGGGATTCAAGTCTAACTGTTGCTAATACGTTTATTATCAACCCAACCACCAACCGGCGACCAAACCAACTTCTCATTGGTGGTACCACCCGGCTAGTCTTTGCAACCAGCTTTCAAAGGCAACTTCTGGGATTGTGTTTCAAGGCAGGGAGGCATACCTTGTTGCCACCGACCCGTATGCTCACTCTTTGCCACCGCATGACTCCTAAATTGGTGTTGAAACCAAGAACCCAAGTCCTCTTGGTTTACCACATCGGAAGGCACCTGTGACAAATCATGAGCGGTCAGACGGGTGAAGGCATGGAGAGTTGGAGAGGCGGTCTGAAGGCAGGTTGCAGACAGGCAGACTGTGGGCTGCCACCGGCCCTTCCCCTCCAGTATATTCCACAGATTTGAACAGCTTGAAGCCCCACAGGTAATCCTTGTGCTTGTCGCGTCAATGATGCTCTCCTATTTCTTTTTGGGGTTGTTTGCCCGAATCTCAGTCCGAAATGGACAACCCAATGGGTTTCTCGTCCAATGTTGGACCTTGGGCTTTACTTGAGGTTCCGAGGACCTCCACAGCTGGGTCGACAGCTGACCAAGATATGCCCGAAGCCCTTCTTGAGCTGAACCCACCACCCTCTCGGCGAGTGACAAAGTTGCCTCATGTCTTTCTCCAATTTGCAAACACAAACGAAGCCTTCAATTTCCACAAAACCAAAACAAGCAACCCCAAAACTGTCCCACCCGTTTTGTGGAAGGGTCGAGGCTCCCCAACCCGGGCGAGCCACGAGTGAGCATCCATGTCTCTGCCTGCATCAGGAGCTCGTCGAGCTCCAGGCCTCATGGAGTGAGCTGCCATGACGAAAGACGAAAAACCGACGAAAACCAAAGGCGTAACCGCAGCCCTTGAATTTTGAGTCGCGCCCATGTGAGTTGGACGGCTGGGACTGAGCCCTCCACGCTGGCACAATGGCACAAGCTGCTCACTAGCACCGGGGACCTGAAAAAAAAAAAACGGTTGTCACAAATTTCGGTTCTGTTGTGACTTAGAACGAAGTTTTCCAAAAAGGGGAAGCCGGAAGGTGAGTCAGGCGGTGGGGTCAATTCGTCTCGGGAACCAAGCTCGACCTGCCGAGCTTTGCCTTTTGACCTTTTCTTTTTCTTTGTTCTCGGAGAATAGATGGGGCCCCTATGATTCATATGTCTATTACAGAAAAAAAAAGAGTCTAGGAACCCTCCTTAAGAGGTTCCTAGAGAAGTGAGTTAGGCAAATCCGAGCACCCGCCAAAGGCTCAGCCTCAGCCGCCCGGCCGGCGGGAGCTGTCACTGGACCCGGAGATGGGATCCTGGCGAAAACAAACAAAGAAGTGGGTGTCTTTTTTAGGGGATCCCCTCAAATTGGTGGTTTTCCTTGTGGATTCCCTTAGAACCACAAAAGCAAGGCGCGCCCTCCAAAAGACAGACCCGAGTGTTCTCGAGCTGACATATTTTCTCAGAATGGCTTTCTCCCTTACACCCAAACCGCAGAAAGATGTTCTTACTCAAACAGCTTGGTGGGTGTCCCATGTAGCAAATGCTTCAATGCCCCCGCTTGCCGGCCTCATGCGAAAAAGCTTGGCAGACAAGCTCAGAAGAGCCACCCCCGCGACCTTCTCCCTCGAACTAAACCACCAAATCGGTGCTTGCCCAAGAAGACGCCCACTTTGTGTTTACTCCGAAGACACCAAACCACTTGGGCAACTTGGAACGACTTACTTGGCCCCTCAGATGGGCCGGACGTCAAAGTTCGACGTCCCGCGTGCATCGCAAACCGCGCCGGGGCCGCGCGTGCGCCAAGACTGCATTGGACTCCAGGGAGGAGGAGAAGCACAGCGTGGGGACCTGCCCAGGGTCGGGGCATGTCGGGGCATACAATTTCCAGTCTGGCTGCAAAATCGAAAGCTGCAAGATCAGCCCTGAAAGAGGCAGCCCACTTTGAGGACAGTGGCCGAAAGGGGAAATTGAGCCAACCACAAAGTCTGCCCTCAGCAACTTCAGGGTCTTAAGAAACAAATCGGCGGCTTGTGGAAGGAATTGGAAGCTTTCTTTTCCTGCGGGCAGGTTATGGATCCTAACGGGCGATTGCATGGCCTCATCCCTTTTGTCAACAGTAGGCCTTCAGCATAGAGGTTGGTTGGGGTCTTGTTTTCCGAGATAAAAACAAAGGGTCTCTAGTTAACACGCGTGGCAAATCACCTCACAGCCAGGAAGTTCTCACCGAAACCAGGGGCCAACCCGGGCCTGGCCAGCGGAGATCCCCGAGCCGTAGGCGCCGTCCCGAGGTCGCGGGGAGAAGACCTGGCGGTTTTGGCCGGGTTTGGCGGTGTGATTCGTACATGTGGACAAATTGGAGGCGTTGCTTTTAAGATACTTGGGAACCCAGTCCCTTTCAGTGTGAGGCCCCGTTTGGTTTTCGCACCAAGGGCGCAACCCACTGAACAGCGAGACAATCTCAAGGGAGCACTAAACGAGTCGATCTCATACCTAGGCATTCATTTTGCTTCATGTGAGTCTGGCCCAGGAGCTCTTTGCAGGGTGGCTTTCTGCCAATGACCATTCCCACAAAGACCGACCATGTTTAAGCCCCATTCTCAGGGTCGCCACAGTAAGCAGGTTTGGCGCTATTTTTTCTTGTTGGAAGCTTATGTTTAGCTGTGCGTTGACAGGGGGTTATCTCAAGGTGGAACTATAGGCGCAAGCAAACAAACAAGCAAGCAAGCAAGCATGCAAATTCATGCAAACAAGCAATTTGACTGACGTCGGAACCGATCCACCCACTGACCGGCCAACCAACCGCCAAAGTACCAAAGCCAAAGCGGCTTCCTGAGAAAGGCAATTTAAAACAATGCCTCCCTAGGCAAAACCACATGACTAGCCCCTGACTGAACACGCTAAGCATGACACCAAACTGGCTTATCTCCTACCCCAAATCGCGAGGCACGTCGAAGGATCTATCCCTGTACCAAACAATGCTGGCGGCATGAAGGACACATAGGTCAAAACATGAAGGCAACCAGGTGTAATGCCTCCAAATCCGATACCAAACTTGGGCCTGGACAGCATTAGGCTTCAAAGCAACACCCAAATGGAGGCTCAGCAAGAGATGTGCTCTGGCCGTCAGGGTGATCGTATCCAGCTCCGGCATAGGAAGACTTCGGGACGGAGCCTCGGTCCGCGCGCTGCCAGTGGCAAGTCTCAAGGACCCTCCTGCAAACATGGCTTGGTGTGCAGGAACACTCCCTTTCTAAGGCCAAGGTGTGTGTGCTTTAATGTTTGTTGATGGAAGATGAAAGCTTAAGCATCCTCATCGAGGTTGTATGGGCTGGTGGCTAAAACCTGGTTTGACCCACCATCAACATCTCCCCCGGGCAACCCCAACGTGCGAAACTTTGCCAAATGCTTGATAAGAGCAATGGTCAATGTCCATGATCATGTAAGCAAACAACATGGGAAGCACCCCCCAAACTTTGGCTCGTCATGCGTTTTACTGAGGGCCGCAATGAATATTGATCGCTCATTTGCCCTGGAGTGATAAGCAAGTGCTAAGCCGCGCACGAGTTGTGTCAAAGCGAAGTTGTACATCTGGCAACGAGGGCTGGCAAAAGACATCTCCCAGCTGCTCACGTGGAACAAACAGCTCCAGGAACATCTGCACAATGCCATCCTTTCAACAACCCCTTGTACTAGAGCATGGCAAGCTGTTCCCCTGTTTCTGGAAGACGATCTCCGAAACCGGATCACGTTTCCGGGCGGATGTCCCGGGCTTCTTCGGCTTGGCTCAATCCATGCATTCCATGCCAGCAGTACTGGCGTATTCACCTGCATGGCTTGGGCAAACTCCTGCGGCATTCGGCACGAGGGGTCGGTTTGCCTTGGAGCTAGGGAGCCATCCAATAACGGAAGGCCAAGTGACTTTTGCCCCAGCATTCTTTGGGCTATGGGACTGTGAAAGACCCCGTAAGAGCCACAATCAAAACCTGGCCTTGACCAAAGCCATCCAAAGCCTACCCAAAACGGCACCGAGTGCATGCTTGGAACTGTCCTTTACAAACATCAGCTGCCTTGGTTTGACTTTGACTCAAAGAAACTCTCAGATGCTGCCCCCAGGCAGGTAGCCTCCAATCCTTTCAGAGCCTAGCCTGGATAGCCAGGAGACTGGGGAGCCACATAGGCTCGTAAGTGGGGTGCCTAAATACCAAAGGTTTCTGTGCAAATCGAAGGCGTGTGTGTGTGTGGCGAGTTCCAGTTCACCCTGGAACCAACTCTCAAGGTAGGGGGGCACAGCGCCAGATTTCAGGCCCTGCCTACCCTGCCTAACAGTCCTAACACAGTTATGCAGTCTGGCGGGATACGGAGCCTGATCAACTCACCCGCGATTCAAAGTCCTTTTGGGTTCCCCTTGAATCACTATTGTTTGCGTTGCCCTGTTGAAGTAGCTAGAAGGAACCACCTCGACTTGATAGTACTCAACGTTGCATCTGCATGCCTGACGGTCGACGTTTTACTCGACTTTGACTAGCAATCTTCCTTGCTTGGGGTCAAAGTGCGTGTCCTTTTGTGGCTCAACTAAGTTGCTGCCAACTGAACCTCTAAAAACAACCTGGCCCCACAACTCCACGGCTTCATCTCTTGAACCCTCGCCAACCATGCATCTGGCCCCACTTGGACACGCCCAGCAACTCCGAACCTCGCAAAGCAACGCGGCGTCCTCCTGCCCAGCCCCGGTCTCGCCAGCTTCCTGGCGCATGAAAGCTAAGGCCCTGTCTTTTTGCCCCTTCTAGGGCTTTCAAGCGAAACCCTCATGCAACCCCCCCCCCCCCCCAATTTCATCGTATTCCCCCACGTTGAGTCCCGCATAGCCCTTGCCGCTTGCGCTGAAGGCCGTGCTGGCCTCCTCCTCCTCATCCTCGTCCCCTTCAGCGATGGGCGCGTCCAAGACCACGTTCTCCTGGCGACAGGGAAGCCTCTGGTACCCAAAACCAACCACAAAGCTCACAGAGCTCAGCGAGCCCCCGGGTGTGGCTTGGAAAAAGGAGTCGTTCTGAGTCAGGAGTGGGGCCGCGCAAAGCCTTCTGAGCACGTGTCACAGTTTCAAAGCCTATCAAGCTCCATGATTTGGAAGCCAGCTGCACCAGCCAAAACCATCCGCCTCATCCTGCAAGTCAGGCACACCCAGCGGGGCGAGGTACACGCCTGGTCGTTGAGTGCGCGACATGCGGTTGACGAAAATAAAATCTTTGCCAGTGTCAGAGGTTCCTCTGAGGGTTGCCAGGTAAACTGGGGTTCACTACTCATTGAACTTTCAGCGGCCATCTTGCTACGCTAATGCACAAAAAATTGCTAAACTAAATCCTCTCCGCTAATGAATAACGCTTTTTCCTTTCAGCAACGCTTGCGTCACAGGATTCCCTCTGAGCGGCCCAGCTGGCCTGGACAACAGGCCAGGGTGTGTCAGGGTCGGGAACGTAATGCGCGACACGACACTTAAAATGAAGAAAAATCCCCGCTCAGAAGGAGGGAGCAGCCGCCTGATGGCCCAGCCCTCGTACCTCGCGCTCTGGGAGGGTGGCGGACCTGGGTCCGCAAAAATGCTCACCCAGTCACCCGGTGGTATTTCCTCCTCCCTCCGTGATGAGCGTCCGCCAAATATAGGCTCTGGAAGGAGTAGGGGCGGCAAGCCGCCCCTGGATGCCTGAGAAGGGTCTTTGCCAACACCTCGTCCACCTTGTCCAGAAGGGCGCGTTGCTTGTCCAGCGCCTTCTTCTCCACCCTCGCCGCCCGGAGGTGAGTCCAAGCGGGTGGCAAGCATGCGTCGTTCCGGATGGCAAGTCGGCTCGGCCAGGCGGGAGGGGTTTCTGCTTGTGATCCCTTGTGGCGTATAGGCCGCGCAGCGAGAGCACTTCGACGTGCCCAATCCCCGCGCAGAGGGTTCATTGAGCTCTTTGCAAAATTCGAACGCATGGCTCCACATCGACAGCAGTGGCCCGAAGCGAGAGCTCCCGGAGATCAACAAAATCGCACAGTGCCACAACGCTGCGAGATCTGCTCAGAGGGTGCGCCGAGACCGACAAGCACGATCTCTGAAGAGGGCTCGCCGAGACCAAGACACATTCGCACGGAGGCACAGCGAGAGTGCTTCGACACGCACGATCTCCGCAAAGGGTTAGGAAATAAAAGGGAGGTGTTTTTTGCAAAAAGCACAGTACACAGGCACTTGATTGGCTCACGCTGCTGACATATTAATTACAAACGACCGCTACGCTCTTAGCATGTTCAATGTGTGGACATCCTGGTAAGGTATGTCATCTGCAATCTGTCTTTATGGCCGATGCAGCTGCAAGACTTCAGAACCTGCAGCACTCGAATCTCCAAAGGGTGGGATGGCTTTACGTGAGTTCGCCAGTTCTTGACTGGATGCGTAGGCCCCGACGCACTGTGCGGTCGGACAGCAAACAAACAACCTCAGAGCAGGCATGTCACAGCATGGAAAGCTTGCTTGCCAAGCCGGGAACCCTGCAGCCTAAAGGAATGCATATGGCCAGTGAGCAGAGTGCAAAACGCGACAAAGCCTCGTCTTTTTCCAGCAGCTCGTGCCCCAAGGTTCCACGGTTTCGGCCACACATCTATGGCCCCTCTCGTGCTAGCAATTGAGGGGGTTGGCAGCAGCTGCTCAGTCTCGCGCCCAAATGCCCCCGCACACGCCCCTGGCAATGGGCAATGGGTTGCAAAGGTTGTGCGTTGCTGCCGGCAGGGAAGTCTTAAAACCATGCTTGAACAAATCATTCTTTCTTGTTGGAAAGGCAGTGTGTCGAACGACTTGGTGTTGAACTGTTTTCCCTGGCTTGTTGCTTTAAGGTGGCCATGGTCTGCGTTCTGATGATCTTGCAACCAACCCTTGAACTGCTCCTCAGTTCACGCAAAACTATCTCTGATGGGAGATCTTGTGACCAGGCCGCGCTGCTCAAGGTTGCAACCCTGGCACTTTTGGATAAAGCAAACAGGCAAACCTGCACAGGTATGGCAGGAAGCCATAATAGTGTTCAGCCCAAGGGTCTTAATATCGATTGATTCTTGGCCAAGGTAGGGTCAAGCCCGTCTAAAGCTGCTTCAATTTTGCAATCTCCGGGTTCATTACCACAAAAGAGGAGCCCTTTCGGGACTCCAGTCTCATTTTGTGGTGCCACTCCAACAAGCTTCAAGCCCCAGGGATTTGTCAACGCCCCCTCGATGGATCCGGGGAAACCATACAGACTGCGAAATCCGAAACGCAGACTTCTTGCAGTTGCGACCGGCCCGTCAGCTTCAACCAGGCTTCATTGGCTTTGCGCTATGAAGTTTAGTAGGGACCACCCTCAGTGGTTGGTGAACATGCACCCCAGCTAGATGATGTCCACCAACGGGTCCCCGCATTCACATTCGCACCTGGTGTGGAGCTGTTCGATCATCGGCCGCTCCTCTGATTCGGCCTGGCGAAATTCTGACCGTGCTCTCACGCGAATTACCTCCTTTGCTGGCGCAAAGAAACACCACCAAAGATAGGCAGAGGGCTCCAAGCTCAGGATCCCTTGGAGAATAGGGGGCCTCTAAAGCTGGGTGGCTTTCAACACAAGATACGCTAGATCACGTGCAAGGTGTCACTGCGCTGTGTACTTCTATTTGTGTGTGTGCTCCGTTTGACTATTGCGGATGTACCCAAAGCGGGAGAAGAACCACAACAACAATTTGTTGCGCGATCGACCATCCACCTCTTCCGTGGTATGGATGGAGTTTTCAAGCACTGACGAACTTCAAAACCCGTTTGAGTGGTTGCTTTTTGGTATATCCGGTAAAGAGGCAACATGAACTTTGGGTTCTGCAAGAACAGCCCCAACAACTTTGCTTATCCAGCCTTTGAGCATTCGATCTTCTGAAGCTTCGAGCGTAGAAAGCCATCTTGGTGACATTGTGCTTCTTTTTTTTTGCTCACAGCAACTGCTTTAACTGTTGCATCCTGTTTGAATGGGGGCGGACGGCACGCCATGCGCATTGCTCAGTGTCCCCCGCACTCCGATCCGAAGCGTTGCAAACATGCCCCCATAATTCCAAGACATGCATGGGAAGGAGTTCGCCAGCTTTCAAAACCCTAAACAAGCTCGCAAACCCGAAAACCGCAAGCCCGAAACCCTAAAACCCGACGGCTTCATGCCACATGACTTGGCTTCGCTGGGTCTCATGGTAAAACGATCCCATACCCCGGCGCGCCGGTGCCGGCAGGTGGATTGCACCTGAAAGCACCGAGCGGTCGTGAAACATCCCTCTGGGCGCGAATTGAGGGCCTTTGTGGTGGTTGGCTTTGTGGTGGGAACACACCATGTATATACTCTATATATATATATATATACATAATATATGGATACTATAATATACATATATATAATATATATATAAATCAGATACCTCCACACAACTAATTGATGCCTGTGCAGGCTCTCGTTGGGAAGCCATGTCTTGCCAGGTCCGTGCATCTCTCTGGCAAGCTGAGGGCCCGTCAGGAAGGCTTCAACAGGACGCCATAGGCTTCCCTGCCGTGCCAGTCACGTCACTGCATCGTTGTAGCCATCTTGGTTGTTTCCCGCCAACCCTATGCTTGTAGGGGAATTGCAATTCTGGGCCCACCAGTCTTGATTGCTGAACTCCCCCGAATTGGATTTTGGCAAGGATGCTTGTTTTTGGCGAGTTCCCCATGTCACTCCTCTTGGCTTTGCAGTATGCGAAGCCAAACACGTTTCTCCAAGGGCCCTGGTGGATTCTGGGCCTCCATTGTGATTAAGCGTGCTTAGCACGCTCCCTGACGCCGGGTATGGGGAATCATCAGCCGTCTATCTGATACTCAAGCCCCGACCCTTGTGGGCAGAGTTTCAGTGCCCGCTGAGCAGCCAGCTTGTGAATATCGTACGCAAAGATTGTGGGTGACACCCCAGCGGCCTTAGCCAAAGCTATCAACGGCCTTCCAGTGTCCGCAGTAACTAATTCCCTGCTTGGGTGATGGTTCTGGCTCCCTATGCTGATCCTTGTGACTTGCTATGAGAACAACATTCATTTTGACCTCTTCCCTTGCTTTCGACAAACAACAAACTAAGATGTGTTTAAGCACATAGAAGCCGAGGGCAAAATCAGAATGTGTTCAAGGCCATTGCAGGCACGCAACACAGTGCCAGTCAGAAACATGGGCGTTGATCCTCATTGTTTCATCTGGAAAAGGCCATCTGTGCGGACAAACAGGTTTCGCGAATCGTTGCGACTGACTCCGTCGACGCCCCCATTTTGATTGAAACTTGCACTCTGGGGCTTCCCTTCTACTATAAACACCCCGCAAAACCGGCATTGCCTAAAGCCACCCCAAAAGGGAAAGTGCAAGCAAAACTGCGCCAGCAGCCAGATACAAAACGCGCTGTGGAAGAGTTATGCTCAACAACACAACGCCACAATCGCTGTGCCAGCAGAGCTGTGCAAGAAGCGCCGTGTAGTCAGCGCCGTGTAGTCAGCGCCGTGTAGTCAGCGCAACGTGAGCAGTAGTGCTCAGCAATGCAATTCGATGCACCCACTGACATCAACTGGCTTTCTGGACACGTACGTGCCAAGAACAATTCTTCTTCTAAGCCCCGATGTCGTCTTCCATCTCTGAAATTTAAAGGCTCTATTTTTGTTCGCTGCCTGTCCGCCCAGGATCCCACACCACTTGCAAGGATGCCGCAGTTCCTTTTGTGTGGAAACTGGTGAGTCAAAGGAACGGCCCAACGGGAACTGCTCAACGGGATGGCTAAGGCTTCCCCCTTCCACGGTCCAACGTCTGGCTGGGAAGTATAATGGCTCCACGGGATAAGCATGTCGCGCTCACACACAAAATACATCTTTGCGGGAAAAACACACCTACTGTGGATGGACGAAATCCTGCACCACGTTAAGACCATGGGAAACCATTGTTGGTTGGTATTTACCAGGGAAATTAATCATTCCGTGGCTTCTTAGGTGCCGGAAGTCGCCGAGCTCGGCACAAAGAGCTTGATCTTCGGAGGCGGCAAAGCGGGAGGGTCGATGCCTCGCAGGCAAGTTGGGGGACCGTGTCCTGGTGGTTACGTGATGGTTCCCACAAAATCCCACAGGAATTCCGCTCCATCGTCTTCAACAACCAGCTTGACTCCGTTCACTCAACACAGAACAAATCCAGTGGCTGGCCTGGCCCTGCGAAGACCTCCTGCAGCGGTGGGCCAGATAAGCCATTCGCCCAGTTGCCGGGTGGGTATTTAGGTGCATCCCTTTTTTGCGTGATCCCTCTTCCCAAAAAAACGTGGGGTGACCTTTAAGCAACCCAAAAACAAAGTGCCCTCAGGTTCCCGCATTCCGGCCAAGCCTTCAATGGACATTCAGGAGACCCCGGCTGTTGCCCAGAGTGTCATTCACCCAACTCAACTCTCATGGTGCTACCATGTCAGCTTCACAATAACCGATTCGGCACACAGGCCACAGGCCCTTAAAGCCACATTTGTTGATTGGGCAAGGGGGCGGGGGTTCCCCTTTGGTTCCCTTTAACAGATTGGCAAACCAGTTCCTTGAGAAATTCTTTAGAGATACCGCCCTTTACAAGTTGACACAACCGGGGTTCACACAACGAGCACCCTTTAGGGTCCCTCCCAATTGGCGTTTCAAACTGCCATTTAAGGGAGTGGCCTCGAATTTTCTGTCCCCCGGGTCATTCTCGTGTCCTGGTAGGCAGCCTCCGAGCAAATGGACACACAGGTCACCGGCTCGCCCTCTGGGAAGGGGTGTGCATGCGCCACCACCTGTCAGGCGCTCGGTGCCACGACCACTGAAACCTTGTGAGTTGCGTGCTTGTAGGGTACCTCTGCTTGGGACTTTGAAGGGACACGGAAAGGGAAGCAGTCAGTTTAGGGGTTCCGATATTCTAGCAACACACATGCCTAGCATCCCTGTCAAGTGGCTAGCCACCATCCCCACCAACCCAAGTAAAGGGGTCGTTTGACATTGGCACGTGTGGGGTTTTCTTTCACGAGATCCCCGAATGTTGAGAATCACCATGAGTTATTAAGTCAACTATGATCTTAAGTTCGAGCTTCCGCCTCTGTTGCCACTTGTCGAACTCACTAAAAGGGGGCGCGGGGCAAAACAAACATAAACGCAAAATTGAGTGCGATGCTTGTTGTTCGCATGGGACGAAACCACGAACACTCTAAGCAATCTCCTTTGGCTTCCGTCAGGGGACCCTTCAACACTGCCTAAGGCAAGTGTTCCCTTTGGACTCCTCAGAAGGGACAGCCAAATGACCCCCGAGCTTACCCTTATTACAAGTAAAGGCCCGCGGCTCCCATCGATGACTTTCACAATGAACCCTTTCATTTGCTCAAGACGTCTCTCAATTAAAACACACATCTACAATGACAAGTTCCCTGAAACAAAAAAAACATAACCCACTATACTGGAAGCTTATCTTCTAAAAGAAGCGGCTGCCAATCCTTACAGGAATCCGAATCAACTGCAACATGTATTGCCGTTGGCTCGTCTGGTGGATGCACTGCAAGGAATGACAGCCGGGTTATGATCCCTTGGCTTGTCACTGGCTAATAGGATGGCTTGAAGCCTATTTCTGGTTGAGAATCATCTCCAATACCCTGCAACCCTCCATCTGAGACGTTGCCAAAATGGCTCACCGGCAGTTTTTTTTGGCGCTCACTTGACTCCAGCCCCCTCTTGCGGCGCACGTGAAACCCAGCGACGGCGCCTCGCCCTTTCGAGTGTCTACCAAAAGCGCTTCCCCTTGGCTGGTGCCAAGCGCCATCCTGGCAATGCCACAAACTGCCCCTGGGGTAGGTACCTCATAAATCTATTTGTTGGGACACATGAGATATATGGCAATGTCTTGTACATGTATATTATACACATTGTATGATTGATACCCTTGAACATGCCCACTTTCAAATTATGTATATATGCATATCATATAATAGGCGTTCCATGTGTGGTATATCTCAGGGCACCTTTCCTGGACTCCCTGGACCGTGTGGTTGGGCCCTTGAGATTCATCTCGTTCCCTGTGCTGAAAGGAGCGCAACACTCAACAAATCAGGCTTCAGCTAGGCAGTCGGCCTGTGCTCACAAAGAAAACCTTGCAAGATTGCAACTGAAATTGGCCTTGCTGGGGGATGCGTCGGCATGGTTTCAAAAGGAGAATGGGGCTCCTGCTTACAACAAATGTTACGCCCTGCAGGTCTCAACAAGGGGGTCCCTTTTCCGCGGAACATACTCTTGAGCATCCTTTGCACGCAGAAACCCTCAAGGGCGTCCAAACTTTCCCCAGTAAAGTATCCCTGGGTCCCTGTTTCCCTGTTTCCCTCGTGGGTGAGCCCAGTAAAGTTTCCCTCATGAGCTCCTCTCCTCCCCTCGCCAGAATTCGTCCAGTCTGCCTTGCGGTCCCTCTGGGCTCCACAAAGGCGCAGGCAATCCGCCCGGGCACCTGGCATGCAGTCATGGGTAGTTGAAGCGCATGCGCACCACCTGTAAGCCATACTTAAAATATATATATATATACATACATAATTTATGGTTCTTGTCTGGTACACCCCCCCAATGGACCTAGATTCTGTCAAACAGAGTCTTGTTCATCATGTTTTGCCCCATGGTTTAACCCTCAAGAATCATGGTAAACTGGGAATCTCTTACATTGAACAAGAAGATCTCTATTTTCAGAAGCTTTAACTTGAAAGTGACAAATTGCGCACAACACTGTAACTGCTCTTGGCCTGGATCCAAGATCCAATATTGCAGAACCAAATTGTCGGGAAATCTTGGATCTTGGACCTGCCCTCTGAAGACCTTAAAGTGTTTCCACCAAATTTAACGCTTGACTCTGTTTTTCTTGTACACCAAGATCCAGCCAAAAGAAAGTGTTGGTTTGATGCATATGGCGGCCATCTTGTTGAATTCAGGAAGTGCCCAGTTTGACCCCGTTCATTTTGAGGGGACAAATGACATAAACTGCCAAGTTCGACCTCTTTGTGAAGGAGACAATAATCTGACAAATGCTCATACATTCATTTTACTGTTTGCCCGGGAACCATGTTGATTGACACACTTTTCTGTTGTTGGCTTGGCTCAGTTCGTGCTTGGGTAAATCACACGGACGTAGACAAGGACAAAACCCATTGGAAGTTGAGTTTGATTTCTCAACTAGTTCACATACAAAGGGTTAAAGTTGAACGTAGCTAGAATTTCCAGCAGCACTTTGAATAGGGTTTTCCTCCCACCTGATGTTCAAGAAATGTTGTTGACAAATCATAACCTAATTAGACGAGAAACACAGCTGCTTTCCACATGACTTTTTTGGAGAATAGAGCTAGAATGTACGTGGATTCATGAATGAATCGATTTTAACTAGAATGTACATAGAACTGCACCTGGCCATGGAGTACTTTGACAGGTGAATTTAGTCTCAAATTCAAACAGCAATCTAGATAGGAATGAATTCATTTTCCCAAAATTGATGGTTTGCTGAACTATCTATTGCAAAACGATAAGCGCTGAACAACGATAACAAAGCTGCTACAGGCTCGTTGAAACTGCCAAAGTGTACTTTGCGTACTACTCTTGTATTGAAATGTTGTGTTATTTTGAGCTGGAGCTGCCCAAGTGCACTTCGCTTACTACCTTCGTACTGAACAAGTTCGACGTTGGAGCTAGTTCGAATAGGACACGATTTCGACAGTTGCTGTTGAATTGTCCTTTAAAGGACGTACGTTCTATTAAGATTGATTTGGGTATCAATTCCTTGAACTTGATTTGGAGACACAACATGGTCTGAAGTGTCTACTATGCAACCGCTGCAACGCAGGTCCATAGCCTGGAGTGTCTGCTCTGAAAATAACAAAACCTAGGTCCATGAGCGGGAAGGAACATATTTTCTAAATACACACGTAAAAATCATACTTGCGTTGTTGCTGCTAGAACATGGGAATTCAACCAAACCCTGTGGAAGATGCTTGATGGGATTTGCCCGTTTGCCTGCGCTCGCTTTGTGTTTTTGTTGGCTTGATTGCTGTTGCTTGCTCGAACAAAGGACCTGTTTGACAAGACATTTCAGAGAAATTACGCCTAGAATCCAGGGGGTACCTCCACTAAATGGTCGGATTGAAGGACGATCCCTTTTGACCCCAACCAATCTTTTGGGACGGATCCCCAATTTGCAGGGCAAGACCTGCCAAATATACGTCCATTACTGTACTTCTGCAGGATTCCATTCCAGCGCACAGGAAAGGAGACTTGCTTTCCATCAGCTGACACTCAGCCGACCTTTCGAATCTGCCAGTGCTTTGGACCATCCCTTAGCAAGTTGTTGACCCCACACGTGTGATTACACCACTGGGATCGGAAGGAGTATTTCCCCCCAAAGTGAAGGTTTGGGCTGAAAAGCTGAGGGATGAATATCACTCAGCCTCAAAATGGATTGTCCCTTTAAGGGTGGCAATATCATGGGAATCCATCAATCAACACCAACGCACCAACCCGGCCTGCACAAAGGAGCTCGGGCCAGCCTGTCAAACGACAACAAACCCGCGTCGAGACCCGGACCTTCACCGCCCATTGGCCGTGACTTTCGCGGCAATTATTCGAGCCTTCCTGCAGGTTACAGCGGTCTTGGCCCTTCCGAAGGCCGAACCCAACATGCCATGTGACATGTGATTCCCTTGCCAGTCGGACCCATTCAAAGATTTCTTGGCCTTGTCAGCTTCCTTTCGGGTTCCCTTCAAAACCTCATTTCCACAAACACGAATGCACCCGCAAAGGTGTGAATGTTCAAGTTCTCCTATTCAGCACGCCAGGAGCCAGCCAGCTCTCAGGCAGCTGGGGCTGCCATCAGACCTCAATCACTACGATTCGAGGCATAATCCTCTGGGGAACCACTGTCTTGTTCTCACTGGCCAAATTGATGCAAATGGCTAGAGCTACTGGCCTTACCTTCATACATGGTAGAGAATATTTGGTGAGGTGCATCAATGAAGTCCCTCCTCCCCAAAAGCTTGGAGACTTACATCCCTTTTTGAGTGGAGCCGAAGATAAACCCACGCCCACCCCATCGGCCAGCCTGCGGCAGAGAGAACTCATACTCTGCCGACCTTGCGAGAAGCCCGAGTTGCAACCAGCACCTCGCTGAGCAAACAACATCCACAAAAACAATGGGACAAACTGTCCATAGTCAATTCTGCATCCTGTCCAACATTTCACGAGGAATCCTCGAGTGTGTACGAAACCTTGATCTTGGTTAAGTTCGTCAGATCGATCCAGGGACTTGCAAGAGCATCCGAAAGTCACTCGGTTCTCACGCCATTCAAACATGGATGAAACATTGGGTCATCTGACGGAACCCAAGCCTGGCTGTAAACTTCGCCATGGCAGTCAACTTCGAAGCACCGAAACAAAGTACGGCGAGTCATTGAAACTATGCGGGATCAACCCGACTCCATGAACTCATGGAGCAAGGTTCTCAGCCAAACAAAATAATTCCACTGCGCTACTTGGACTTTGCCTAACAGACCATGACAAGGGCTCTCAAAGCGCCTTGGGTTTCTTTTGCCCGACACATCTTTGATACCAGCAACCCAGTCAGCACAAACCCCCAAGCAGAAGGAACTCGTCACTCTTCAAGGCCCAACCAAAGGAGGAGAGTACACCTTAATCTTGCTGGTGCTCAATAGGGAGAATCACCCCTATAAACCATCCTTGTGGTTTTCTTTAAGGGAATCCCCGGGTTCATTCCAATTAACTTTCCCTACTGAGCACCAGCAAGTCGTTACCATTCTGCTTCTTAACTAGACAATTGTTTTAGCGCGAAGCAAATTAGGTTCTTTTCATGACTTTCCCAAGAGCTCAACTGCAATGTCTAAGACCTGCTCTCCAACAGGAATGTCACTCAAAACTTGGAAGCCGTTGACCTTCTTGAATCAAACACTGCATCATGCCTTGTACAGGTTAAGATCTATGCTCCCAAAATAATCGAACTTGAAAACCCGGATGGTGCTCGCAAAACTTGGATAGAACGCAATGTTGACTGCGGATTGATGCGGACGACTGCATTCATCAAAGGAGTGCTCCTAAATTTGGAGAAACCCCCCCCAAAACATTTAAACGGAACTTGGCAACCCCTGCTTAGAAAAGTACCGTCCCCACACTCCCCCGCACCCCACACACCCCTCCCCTGACCAGCCCTGCAGCCGGACAACCAAACAGCACTTGGGTGCAAAACATGGCCACGATGAGGGAGAGAGTAGCGCTATGTTCGCTTGAAACGATGGACGTGGATATGAATACGCATTTTGCTCCACGGAGTATGCACAAAGGGTGGCTGTCTTGTAACCGACATTAAAAAATGGTAAGCCGGCGAAGCACAGATTGGGTGACCCTACATGCGGGTTCAATCAAATGGGTTCCTTGCGAATCTTACACACAATACAATTGCGAATCTTCCAGTGCAAGGTATCGGAACCCGCTGAAGCCTTGAGGTCCCCCTAGAAACACAACGCCGAGCCGTGCTCGCCTTTTCCGCTTCTCGATCACGTCCACCTGCTCGCCTGTGGCTTCGATGATGTCTTCGATGACCTCAGAGCCAAGCCGAGCTTTCAGTCAACCCCAATCCATCCCAGCGAAACGACTACAATGCCCCAGTAACCCAAAGGAACGCCTACACTCTCTCAGACTAACATGGAAGCTCCCAGAAGGTCACAGTGGAACCAAGTCTTCCAAAGGGGTCTGGGAGCTTCCATGTTGGCCCGGGGAGAGTAAAGATTGCCTTTGAACAGCCCAACCAACCCAAACAAACATTGGGCAGTGGGAAAATCGTATCCACTGTGATAGCGGCAACCCAATGACTAGTCCTTCATTTCGAGAATGTTGTTCCCAAACTGCATCACAGAACTGGAACCCTCCCTTGACAGTCGCCCAACTTGTAGATTTTTGCCCCCCCCCCCCCCCCCCGCGTTGTTTGATCGGTATGCTTTTAGAAAAATCCACGAACACACTGCAAATCTGTGTCACGGATCGCAGATTGCTAAGCTGTGTCTAGGTGCGCATATTATGTAGAGCACACATATGCATATATGCACATACGCATGCACATATGTATATATATTTTTTTATATTATATACGCATATTATGTACATACATGCATGCATGGACATATGTACGCGCGTATGTGTACATATATGTTCATGTAAACAATGTACGAAACGGTGGCGATTGAAAAGGTACATAACGGATGACATCCGTGCAGCATATATACGCATAACAATCATGTCCGCATGCGTATTATGCACATACATTAATATGTACACATATCTTTGCCCACATTTGGGGAACTGATAAATTCATGGAGACCCAGATATGCTCCGATGCGGCGGATTTCGTGGCTTGTCAGTGTATCCAGAAGCACTGAAACAAATCCCAGTCCCAGCAAGGTTCTCTTAGCCAAATGGCTGTGGCTCAAAATCAAAGAGGTAGGGCAAACTGCAGGTTGTAGTCGTTGGTTCCATTTGCCAATTTGTGCCATTTTGGGCTCCATATTTTTGAGCCACAGCCATGCATCACCAGATCGGTGCGGAAGCCTCACGGATCTTCGGGCCTCATCGATGATGCAGTAGGGCAGCGGAAGCGGATCAATGGCGCCATCCGGGTTCACCTCGCGAAGTGGGTCTGAGCAGAAGGGAAACGAATGTTTCTACCCCCCAGAATCCGAAATTGCCCCAACACTGATTCCTTTTTGTCATGTTGTCACATGCTAATCCGGGCTTCAAACCGTTTTGGAGGCTCCACATAGACCCTGAATCTGAGATACATCCCTCACTGCGGAAGTAAGGGGTGGAGAGTGGGAAAGACTGGAGTAAAAACAAGAGCTTCTGGCGACGATGTCTTCCGCCTCTGAGCTTCAGTTCTGACAATCGGGGGACGGTGCAGACCTTCTTGCAGCAATGTTCCTCTTGCATCTCTTGCAGATTTGATTTGCGTGCTCGCAAACAAATTGGCGGACATCATTTGCATGGGGACTTATGTCAACCAACCAGAGGGGATTCGCCATCTAAAGTCCTGCCCAAATGTGAGAGAGAGAGAGAGATGTCTCAAACGTTGGGTAGCTTTCTTTCGCTAAACCATCTAAAACTTGGTTCAACCCATTGGGAGACACTCGGGTAGTGGTGCACCCTTTCAAGCCCGAAGGTTATGACAGCTCCCCCCCAACAAATGCTGAAAGAGATTCGCGCTTTGGAGGTCTCTAGGGAAGTGGCCATGGCCTTAACCCCTCAATCAGGCCTTGTACGGCTTCGCCCCCCCTTTGCAAGTCAAGAAAGAGGGTGCCAAAAGGGGGGTCTGGTGACATAAAGCACATGTCCGTCCCTTTATTGGCTTCCTTCAGGGGGATCAGCAATTTGGGGTACGCAAAGACTTTTCCTAGGTTTTATGGGCAAATCTCCAGATGGACCCGACATACAGAATTAACCGGCCAGCCTTCTCCCAGTTGAACGCCATCCCTGCACGGATTTCGGGATTTCGGGCCGGCGAAAAGAGACGTTGATGAAACCCTCTGAAGCAGATGTCCCCATTCAGAGCCAGAGCCAAATCAGTTCCCATGTGGCGAGTTCTCAGAGCACTCATGGATGATCAGCTGTGCCACTACGGGAAATGAGCCAAGAGACTCGATCCGAAAGACCAGGATGGGGAGTGAGGGGGGGAGCACCTAGAACCTGGAACATTTGTTCATGGATGGATGGAAAGATAGAATTAATTCGACGAATAGATAGCTAGATCTCGTCCAATTGGCTTCTGGGCTGTTGCCCAACACCGGTGCAAAGAGGCTGCCAGCCTGAGGCCCAAGGGCCGAGCCCGGGCGCGCGGCGCCGCGCGCCCACCCACGCACACCCATCTGAAACCGTGGCGGGAAAGAACGGCTGCTTGACTCACTCACACTCACTCGCTCACTCATTCAGGGTTTTCAGTTTGTTCCGGGATGTCAAGGCTTCACTCTTCAGATTGAGCAGTTTCCCTTAGTGGAACTGTTGACGGTCCCGGAGTAGAAGCGCAACTTATGGATTGCCTGGAGTTGAGACGCGTTGTTTCTCAGGCCAATCAACGTAACGTCTGTGAATCAACGGGCTAACAAGGACCATGACACTCAGGGGTCTACCACTTGCTCGTTTTGCCACACTGCTCCCGCAAAATGAGGCAACCTGTTGCAATGGTCTCGTATGGTGTCATTTCCACACCTTCCAAAGGTTGCCACATTCTCTCCTAAAGTTCCAAATCAAGTGTAGGGTGCTGGGCCGGTAAAGACTGCAAGAGTTTAAGGATTCCTGCGATGACTGGCGGTGGGGTGAATCAAGTTGAATCAGAACTGCACCCAAAGAATCGCAACGATGTCCTTTTACTTCTCCCGAACCCCTCCTAAACAGGCTACTGTTCAGCGCCCTGTGTGCACAATCCTCAGGATCCTGACAGGTCATGGCTGAGATGTGAGCGCACTGCGAAAACCCATGCCAACTCGGCCAAGACTTTTGCAGCGCGCTGTCGCGTGCTCCAAACCCTAGGCGCTCACCCGGCGCACAATCGCCGAGTACGTGGGAGGGAAGTGGAGGTAGTCGCCTGGAGCGGTGCAAGGTGCAGGGGAGGCGAGCCGGGCTGGCAGGTCTGCGTGTGAGTGTTCTCCAAAGATACTGCCATGAGTCACATGCGTGAGCGGCATGGGTGAACCATGGCAACTCCAATTTGCTATCCTTGCACTCAGAGTTGCCACAGCTGGCAAGCTTGTTGGCGCCCATTTCCACAGCAGCTTGGGCATGTGGGTAGTGTGCGTCGACGGCACGTCTACGGAAAAGACAATGTCTCGCGAAGTCGAACACATTGCGCAGAATGCCAGGTGAGTGGGGCGGTTGTGAATCTGGAGTTGCGCATACCGCTCAAGAGGCAACGGGCAGAAGCCCCTCACAATGCGGTGCACAGATCCTTTGAGTATGTTCACTTAATTGCAACTGATAAGCAGCTTTGGGGGTCACACCCTAAAACATGGGGCTTCCACTGTTCAGTCCGCGTGTAGCGCTTGAACAATTCCATCGAAACGCAACTGCCTGGCAGGCTTCCAATCTGCCCCAGGCTTCCACGGAAGAGGGCGGCGTCCTCGCGAAGGAAATCTTGCACCGCTGGAATATGGACCCCAAAAGGGAAAGAGGTTAGCCAGGGTGCCTAGTCCCTCGAATTCCAAAGCACATTAAAAAAACGTCCTTTGTGATAAAGCACATCTATGGGGTCCAGAGCATATTTTGGGTTTACAAAGCACATTTTTGGGAAGATGCCCTTTTACCCCTTTTGGAGCCCTTTTCTGCTGCGTGTGCGTACTGAGCACTGCTTTTCACACACTTCCTTTCCTGACTGACTACCATGAATGAGTAAGAGATAAGACCACAAGCAAATTATGTTCGCTGCCACTGATGTTGGAAATCACGGTTCCCGATAATTCCCGCGTGTCAATTTTGCTCTCCCGGGGGGTGCCAGGAAATGTCCTTTCTGCGCCAAAAAACGTGCGTTCTACGCCAAACAACGTGCATTCAACAACAAAAAGTCCTTTCATATATGGGTTGTCTACGGGTTGTCTACGCTCCCTTTTTTTCTGAAGTAGATATGGGTGGAAATTCAAATCACTTTTTTTGGTATACTGCTCGTTTCGTTTGAAACTTGGCTTGAGGTAGTGACGAAACCACTTCCGCTGCAACACGTTGGCCATGCAGGTCATGAGCAGGTGAACCTGGCGGGCCCAAGATTAGAGACCCAAGAGCCCTTCCCAAAGACGTGCCTCGAGTTCCCGGAAACGTCCTTTGCCCAGAGCACATTTAAAAAACGTCCGAGGAAGCCTAGGGTAGTGGTTCCTCAAGAGGCCCTCCAACGACTATACAGATATGTATGATTTTACGGAGGACTCATCGTCGTCGTCATCGTCATTGTAGGAAACGTCGTCTCATGCGTCATTCACATGAGGGACGAACAAAATTTATTGCTCTTGCAAAGGACATCGGTAATTTGGGGCGTCTCCTATTGGTTGGCAGTGTCTCCCGCCGCGCATGATCCGCAAGCTAGCGCTGGTGTTGAGAGACGCAAGCATAAGAACAAAACGAGGCATATACGAAGTACACTCTGGCAGCTCCGGCTTGAAAGCCGCAGCTTTTCAGCACAAAGTGTAGCGTAAGAAGTGCATTTTGGCAGCTGTCCGAAAGTCACAACCTGTCAGTATAACCCTTCCATTTCCGGACGAGATCACTCGAAAACATGTCGCTTGCACGGAGTGCTGAACGTACTGCGCAAGCGGCCACATGAGACAAGTCAGGGTATCGGTTGGGTATCGGTTGGGGTATCAGTTGGGGTATCGGTTGGATGGTTTTTGTTTGAAAAATGGACCCAGGCGTGTTGCCCAATCCATTGCCTTTCTCCAGCTATAAAATGTCTTGGCCTTGCTTGCCGTTGTGCTTTCGCTTTGGATCCATGTGGGCACTGACTACTGTAAAGGCTCAGGTCAGTATCGTCTTCAAACGCTTCCTGTGGTCCCAACCCCGTGGTGGAAACGGTAAAAAAGCCTTCTTAGCGAGTACAGCTCGTGGTCGGAATGCCTTCTGAAAACACAGTTGCCTCATCACGCCACATCTCGGCCCAAATGCAAGGTATCATGCTTGAGGGGTATCGTTCTTTTGGGCAACTTATCGATTGTGCGCTTTTCACGTGCTTTGAAAAACCGAAGTCCAGTATCCCTTTAAACCTATCGATAGTTTTGTCATGTTTTGTCGGGCACTCGCATAAAAGAACTGTCACAAAAAGTTGTTTGCTGCTTGTTGTCTGCGTGGTTTGTTGTTTGTTGCTCTGCTGGTGCTGGTGCTGGCGGTAGTGGTATTGGTCGTAGTGGTCGTAGTGGTGGTAGTGGTAGTGGTGGTAGTGGTGCTGCTGCTGGTCTTGGCGGCCTGCTCCTTGACGATGTTGCTGTTGCACTTCTCATTGCTTCTGCTCCGATTGCTTTTTCTTCTTGGTGGTGATGCTGCTGCTTCTGCGGCCGCTGCAGCAAGGGCAGGCACTGTCTGCTGATGGTTCTGTGCGTGTCTTGCTTCTGCTAAGGCTCTTCTCATGACCACCTCTGCCCCCGCGAAACCAGTGTCCGGAATGAAGTCCAGCGTCAGCGGTAAACCACCCACCTCAGGGATTCGTCAATAGATCCGCCCGCTGAAGTTGTTTCTAGTTCTTTTGGCACATACTCTACCAATTCCTTGTGCAAGCACCCAGTCAAATGGTGAAACCCTGGCTAATGATTGAGGGTTGACGGTTGGTAGGGGGCTCCCCGGAACCAGTTTGGGGTCAATGAGTCAATGAAGACAAGCCTAACAACAATCTGAGCAGGATCGCGAATGCACAGTATACAGTTCACTAAGCACCGTGTTCCCTAAATACAGCCAGTAAGTACTGTTCAGTGAGCACAGAGAAAGTACTGTTCAGTGTGAGTTTCTGGCAGGTCCAGTGTTGGTTTAGCATTGGTCTGGCACTTTGAGGCCAAATTACATCATGGACCCCAAGGGGGGCTATGGGGCTATGACTGGGTCCACTAGTGGGGCCCTGGCCGACGACGTGGACTTCAAGCACCGCAGCCAGTCCCGTCGCCTGTCGACCAAGCGGACCAAGCGGATGGGCGGAGGACGTGCCAGGGGCCCAAACAGGTTCCAAGGAAAGAGTCCCAGGTGGATTGAACTCCCTCCAGGAAGGTGGAAAGGGGGGGGGAATCAGAGGACAAAATGAGCAGAGGCTAAGGCCAACATGTGATTCAATACAAGCTGGCCCAACCTTCGTGCAATCGAAAGGGAAGGTGTTGACTTGGTTGGTCATGTGGCAAAATAGACTTGTCTTGGCTCAATCACCAAGTAAGGGCCTTCTTGGCCCAAACTATGCTCCCAGAGATGCTCTTGCTACAGAACATTGAAGGAACCTGTGAGATCCGATGATTGGACCGCTGTGAGGGGGCTTAGAGGCGTGACTTGCTCGGAGGGACGACAGTCCTTAGTTCATTCACTCTGAAAATCACAATCTATTCGCTGAAAAGGACATCCGGGCAAAAGAAATCTCCGGCCCCCCTAGCTTCCACCCTAGCCTGAAGCGGTGCATTGAGATGTTGATGGCCGGGCTGGGAATGTTCCCGCCGAACCTGGCGGGAAAAGGGTAGGCGAACTGAACTGCAATATGAGTCATGATGACAAACAGGTTTTAAAAGGGGTCTGCCAAAAGTCATCCGAGCCGATCTATGGTTGGGACTGCTCACGAACCCCCCAATTCCCGGGATTAAGATTTACCTTATGTCCATGTTCCAGGTGTTTCATGTTGATCGGTTGCCCTTCATTTCAAGTGCAGTGAGATTGACCCCAGTTGACTTGCCTATGATCCAGGCAACCCCGATGTTCAAGACGTGCCTTTCCAAAACAGATGCGGGCTGGGGCTCGTCTACTTCCCGATCAATCTGGCAAAGCAACCCTGTAAATCGGTGTATGGTTTTACTTTTCCTTTTTTTTAAATATATACTCTGATAATCCACCGTGCTCAATGCACGTATGTCTAAATGGTTTGCCAAATATCACGACGGCTCCGCAGTGAATTGCGACCTGTTTCTTTCCGAGACATCCGCAAAGTTGACCTCCCGAATCGATTGTCGATACGGGGCAACTGCAGATGCCCCTTAAATGGTTCCCCCAGGCGTCCACCCTGAAAATCAGGTCGCCCAAAGAAAACTCACTTGAGTGTTGCTCAAAACCCACCACCACGCACAACATGGTTTTCCAAGGGAAAGGGACAACACAAAGCATGGGCTCGTTGAAGAACCAAACTTTTCTGGCCTCCAAACTCGCTTGCTTCCGCCTTACATTTGGAAGCCACCCCGGCTTGTTCCGACCCCTGGAGACCAGTCCGAAAGGAAACTCGTCGGGCAG